ACCCACGCTTCTGGGTGGGCTCCGACTGCTCTTCCTTCTCACCTTAAACTGATCCATCAGCCTTTCCCTAACAACTTGCTCCATTAATGCATCTGTCCATACCGAACTTTCAATTACTGTCGCTGTTTAAATTGCTGATGTCTGGGATGTGCTTTCTGGACTAGAATCTCACTAAGGAGTTGAGTTTCTCCTCAAGAAGCGAGCAGACAGGGCTCAGCAGGTGCAGCAGGTGAGGTCTGAGGAGAGCAAGGGCTCTCTGTAGCAATTCTGTCTCCTGGGGGGCACACAGTAAGTGTAGAGACTTGATGGAAATGGCTTTATGGAGTTTTTGCTATGCCTCATGATCTCCCTTCAAAATGAAATACAGCTGATCTCTGCTTTGAGGACAGGGACCTGTGAACAAGTTCCTGACACCAAAACACCTTTGGAAATGCTTAACCTTAGCTTGACTTCAGTTTTGATCTATATCCCAGTTTCTGGCACGTGGTTTTCCCTGCTTTCCAGTTGTTTGCTGACACTTTATCCAAGGCTGTCACCAAAAGCTCTGTGTGTCCTGTGGCAGGGACAGGTGGCTTTGCTGAGGAGGGAGAGGAGTAAACACTTGAGATGCTGCTCTATTTCCTTCCCTGGAGATGAAAGCATTTTTTAACTGGCCTTTAGAAAGAAAGCAAGCTCATCTGTGGTGCAGCTTTGGAGGAAGCTTTGGCAGAGCGCACAGATGTGCTCCATCCTCTGTGCAATTCTGGTACCCAGTTTGCAGCACCGCTCACTCGATTAAGGGCTGGGTTAATTTAACAAACACATCTCTCCTGGCTCCCCGGCCAGTTGTGAGCAGGGCTGCTGCCTTCATCCCGCACCAGCCCTGTCAGCAAACCCCTCGATGACGAGGCAGGACCCACGGGACTGGGGTTGGGTAACAGGGGCACATGGCTCCACGAGGCTCTGACAGGGCACCCACGGGCTGGTTTCACTTTCCTGGCCCCGGTACTGCCCCGGCTTTGGCCGAGCTGGCACACTGTGTCTGATGCCTTCATTCAGGTGATGCTCCCACTTTGAGTTCCTCACACAGGTCTTTGCTCAGGCGAGTTTTCATCTTCTTCTGTAACTCTGATCAGTGTCTGCAAGTACCAGTCCCGTGTGGCAGAGATATTTGAGGTCACATATCTACTTACCCTGTAGGCTGGAAGGAAATTGCAGGCTGCATTCACTGATTACAGCAATGATATAACAATAACTGTGCTATGATCCTTTACTTGGGTTTGGTGTTTATTTTTTTTTTGTTGTGATTTTCCAGGCTGTGAACGAGACCAGTGGCCATCTTCCGACAAACAGAGCACTGGAAAAGTATTATCTCTCCACCATGTACAGCCTTGAGTTCATTATAGGTGCCCTTGGAAACATCATCGTGGTGTTTGGCTATGTTTTCTGCCTGAAAAAATGGAAAAGCGGCAACATCTACCTGTTCAATTTATCCATATCAGATTTGCTATTTCTGTGCACTCTGCCAAATCTGGTGAACAGCTACTCCAAAGATCAGTGGGCAGAGAGCACCCTGTGCCACAGCAACAGATTCCTGCTGCACGCCAACCTGTACAGCAGCGTCCTGTTCCTCATGGTCATCAGCATTGACCGGTACATGCTGATGAAGCACCCCTTCAGGGACCACGTCCTGCAGAAGAGGAACACAGCTGTGGTGGTGTCTGTTGCCGTGTGGATCGGGGTGATCCTGGAGCTGCTGCCCCTGCTGTATTTCCTGGAGCCTGTCACAGCTGCCAATAACTACAAGTGCCTTGACTACGCCAGCTCTGGGGACCCCGTGACAAGCCTCGTCTACAGCATGTTCCTGACCGTCTTTGGCTTCCTCATTCCCCTCCTGACCATGGGCTGCTTCTACCTGAAGATGGTTTGTTTTCTGCAGAACAGGAGCGAGCA